GCCCACACGCCCGCACCACGCTGTTTGTCAGCTGCACTGTGATGGCGAACTAGTTTCTGCGCATACAACCACCACCTAGTCCATGCGCGTGTGGGCGAACTACTTTTCGCCCACACGACACTCCTACGTTGTGGATGACAACTGTAGTTACGTGAACGTGACAACTAGGTAAACATACATGGCAACTGTGATTCTTTGCTAGACGGCAACTGCAGTTGCGCGTAAGTGGCAACCAGATAAACACACATGGCATCTGTGATTAACCATACATGGCAACTATGGTTGGACCACATATGGCAACTAGGTAAACACACATGGCAACTAGGTAAATAAACACGGCAACTACTGTTTGACCATATGTGGCAAGTAGTTAATCACACACGGCAACTACGGTTTGATTACACGCGACAACTATCATAAATTAGACATGGCAATTATAGTTAACCAAAATAGATAGAGTTGCCATGCTTTTACAACTGCACTTCCATCCTGGATAACTACATCTGCCAACCAAGATGGTAACTAAATCGTCATCTCGCGGGTACCTAACATAGTTGCGCCAGGACGTGGGCATTTTTGCTTCGTGCCACACGCGCGATGTGAGATAAGTAGTACTTGTTGGATGTGTGATACGAAATAGTCACGCCCACACGTGTGGACAATTTTAATGTCCGTCCACACACAGCCCGTGTGGGCTGCCTCCTGCTTACACTACACATGGTATGTGAACGCATATCAAATATACCACACATGTGGCAGTTATCGCCGTCCTTCTTTTTTTAATCCTTTTTCACGCCAAAAGCACCATTACACTAGTAAGTTTGGCCAGCCTGCACAACTACATGTTCACTCATGGCGCACAATTGCAGTTTCCGCTTGTGAGCTTTTATGTTTTTTTTTTAGTTTTCACTACAATTGTAAGCTCGCGAGCCACACATGCATGTCCACCGATCACGTGTAACTGCCGTTCCATGGGTGCGCACTGAACGCAGTTGCAGGTCAAGTTGTTCATCGACCGCGCGCGCGTGCAATTGCACGCGTGTCGGTCACGCACAACTATACAGTTACCAATTTACGTATTTAATAAATAAAAGAAATGCAATATAAACTGAGAAAGAAAAATAAAAGGAAGAAAAAATAAAAGCAAAGGAAGAAGACAAAGAAAAAGAGAATGATAGAGTAAATCTAGATGACTACTCACATCGACCCGTCAATGTCATAGTGTGTGAAATTTCACTTTCAAGTACAACATCCAATAGTGCCATCATTTTCTTCGCTCAATCACGCAGGCGGTGACGTGAGAAATGGTCTTCAATGGAGAAGGAATATGCTTTTGTTTTATCTTCTAGACATAGTACGTGAGAAATGGTCTCATCTTCAACAGGCTACGAAAGCTATGCACATGTGTAGACATGAGATAATACTCCTATATGGATTTGCATAGCTTTCGTACGCCTGTTGTTAGCAGTTATTTTGAGGGCAAATGCAACGTTGTTTGCGTACGGAAAGAACATGGTGGACTAACTTCAAAAAAAAAGAGAACATGGTGGACTTGGTATACCGGACCTTCAAGCTAAAAAAGATGTTTTACTCGGAGCATCTACAACCCGGCGCCACCCAAACGCGGGCCGGATAACCAGTCAAAAAAATCCATCTAAACGGGTGCCTTAAATGGGCATCAAATGTCTATACAGATCATTATTTTTTTATATCTAACCCAAATGCAAGGCAGATATAAAGATGGTCGGACGCGTCCGTCGTATCGAACCTGACAGGCCTACCCCCACCACAACTTGTAACAAATCCACTCCCTTGCCCTACTGAATCCATTTGCTCTCTCCTTTCTTCTTTCTCCTCTACGCCGGACGTCTCGTAGCTTCGCCACCATCCTTGTTCCGCAGCCGTTTTGAGCCTCATGGCCGGCAGCACCAACACAATAGTCCTGTCTACCATGCTCGCCGCCGAGGACATCGTCGTCGGCCCGGATGGCACTGCGGTACATCCGACCATTATGGGGCTGCCCCTTGAGCTCTATGTGTTCGACACATTGTCCAACCCGATTTTTTTATTTATTCATAAGGAAAGCGATGGATTCCGATGCTTCGCCGGATGAGGAGTATGACCGATTGAGCTTAATAAAATGTATCAAGGTCATACCAAAGAGCACACCATCATACTGAAAGCAGTGACATCACATGACTTATGGATTTGACATGCTTTCTTTGGACTGTCGGGTTCTCGCAATGACATCAACATTAGCTTCAACGATCTACCGTGTTCAGGAGGCTTTGTAATGGGGAATCGCCACCATGAAACTACACTGTCAACGGCCGTGGCTGCAACATGGGATACTATCTTGCCGATGGCATATATCCTCAGTGGGCGGTGTTTGTGACCATGTCTGAACCACAAGGCAACAAACAGAGACACTTTGCAACAATGCAGGAAACAACTAGGAAGAGCATTAGTAGTGCTTCAAACTCATTCGAGAATTGTTCGTGGAGCTACAATGATGTGGGAATCGAAAATTTTGTGGAAGCTAATAACATATTGTGTTATTTTGCACAATATGATTTTCGAGGGTGAGGGTGATGGTGTAGCCCAAACCAATAATTTTGAAGCATATGGAGGACAACTTCAAATCCCAGAAGATCAAGATGCAAATCAGCTTATGAACTTTCTACAGATGCATCAGAATCTTCGAGACGTGCAGCTACTCAGTGATCTTGTGGAGCATATGTGACCCATAATGAAAACCAAAGAGATAATGTTTGAGTTGTGTACTTAAAATAAATTTTATATAAGAACTATGTATTTTTGTTACCAACATTTGTTATTTACATGTGACATTGCCGTGTATGAAGCACATGCATGGATTTGCATGTATTTGAGAGTCTGGATTTGAGGTATGTGACTGCCAGGCACGACATATGAGGGGCGATCCGGCTACATCCGCAGGCATTCTCGGGCGCGTCGGCAGATGTATAGGAAGATTTTACTAAAGATTTCACATGGCAAACTCTCTTGCGCAAAGATTTTTACTAAGAGGCTCACTTGAGCAACTGTTGAATGTCATCACCTAATGTATCATTTAGGCAAGATGTTCCAATGAGGAGAAATAAAATCTTTGCAAGTGATTGGTCTGGTAGTAAAAGTGTTGCATATGCCACCTCCTCAGTTGAATACGTCACATCTGAAATCAAAATGTTCTGTAACACCATCACCGATGCCTGATTATGAGAAAGGACAACCTTACAACGTGATTGGTCAAAAGTGTTGTTTCTGCCACCACGAATAGATGATAAAAACCTTCTTTTATAGAGCAATTTTGGGTGCACAACACCGCCAGTCATCCAAGTCACGTTTAACTTCTGTCCACCATGCAATGTTGCCAACTTGTTTGGTCACTAGCTCGACTATATAAAGTTTAATGGTAAAACTTCCTCTCCACTGCAGGTTATTTTCTAATGTACGCACTAGTTTCGTTTATGGTTTACTCTTCAGCGACAGAAACACCGACAACTATTTATTGAGGTTTATACACGTTTGGAGCAGGTGATCGAGGATGTTTTTTACCCGACATGGGTGGTGGAAAATCTATGGATTGTCTCTCCTCCTACTCCGCCTCATGCATAGTTTGGGTCATATTTGCTTTACTATTGCTAGCTTGATACTGTGTGTGCATGTGTTGGTATTGGCCGTGTGCATCCTAGCCATGCAAAGCCTAGATGTGTTCATGTCTTTGAAGTCTCTTGATGCAAAATTGAGAGATAATAAGAGACGTCCTTTATAAACACAATCAGTTAATTTGTGGAAGTTGAATTCTTGTTATTTCTTTTTTTCCACCCAATAATGTTGTATGTTTGTTCCTTATCACAATGATAGTGAAACTTAGTACTTCTTTTGTTATATGAATGGCAAACACAGACTTACATAGATTTGAAGTGGGGCATGTGAGGGCAAAGGGGACAGTGGAATCGGCCAAAACAGCAAGCCAGTTCTTCGCGAACATATCAACAAGTATCTTAGGTACATATAAGGAAACATATCTAGATAGTAGAATCAACGAGTACTGCAATGTCCAATCTTCACCACAAAATATACTTGCAAGAACAACTTACTACAACATCATTATCCTAATATAATCATCAACATATGAAAGAATAGCATACCTCCAATATCAACATAACCAAACTATACCAAACTTGAACAACAAATACAAATAGCAATCATTAACTTGATCAGCAATAAATATGACAAGTGAACACCAAATCAAAGGGAGACACAAGGATTTACATGAAAACACGGTGCGGAGAAAAAACCACGGGCCGACAAGCATGTCTTCCACTATAGAAATGAAAGGTACAAGGTGGAAGCAAACAAGTAAGGTAGGCTCAAAATCCCCATTTTATTACTCAAATTTGGGTCATTTTGTTTATCAAATGCCCCACTTCTCTCTCCCACTCTAGAACTCTCTTAAAAATAGAAAAGTTCAACTCTCTGTTATTCTCGAGTTTGGAGAGAAGTCTATTTGAGTTTTCTTTTGGTACACCCCCTAAGAATAGTTTACAGATTAAATGCGAAGATTATAAAATACTCCTTCAATCAAAAATATTAGATTATTCTAATCTCTTATTTGATGCATTGGGAGAATAGGGATTAGAATTAGTTGATCGTGAATGTCCAAAACTACTCATTTTAAGTATCTTTAAGGTTCATGCAAACTTTCTTTGGGGGGTGGGGGTGGGAGGTACCAAAGAAAATTCAGTCTATTTTAACAACTCTACATAAAGCCTTTCTCAGCTTGCTAACTATCTCAAATAGCCAAGTTTATTTTGCGGTAACTTAATCCACATGCTTCTGACAGTGAAGTAAGAGATGCACTTTATCACATGACGTGTTACACATACCGGAATAGCAGCCATATAATTTTGTGCATTTGCTCGAGCATAGAGAAACAGATTAGTACATAGGGAAAATCACACACATCACAACCGATGTCATGTTTCCTCTACAAGGCTGGACAAGGTGGTCACACTTTCCATCGATGAAGGGTAAGACATGACGTACGAGTCAAACCCTTCGTTCTGCATCATCGCAAGAATCTCGAAGCTCTCATTCATCAACGTAAGCTCCGGTAGTTGCACGTCTCCATTAAGGTACCTCATGACCTGTCGCATTCCTGGCCTTAAATTGGAGAGAGGATGCGAGCATAATAATCCTAGCTTCAATGCTAGGCAAGCCTCACCGGCATCGTAGCTATGAAGCTTGGTATCCACGGTTTCAGCCAGTGATCCTCCGTGCCAATGCTCAAGTACCCAGTCGACCAGCATTAATTGTTCGCCTTGTAAATTTTGCCTAATGGGCCTTTGTCCACATGTGACCTCAAGAAGGAATATGCCGAAGGCGAACACGTCGGTCAGGGGGGTTGCCTTGCTAGTGCGACCGAGCTCTGGAGCTAGGTATCCTATGGTCCCAACCACATGTGTGGTTTGTGGGTTGGCGCCACGGTCGTACAACCTTGCCAGCCCAAAGTCACCGAGTCGACCATTCATCTCATTGTCGAGGAGGACATTACTAGCTTTGATGTCCCGATGGATGATTACTTTCTCACACTCCTCGTGGAGGTAGAGCAACCCGGAAGCAATTCCCTTGATGATCCGGAACCTTTTGTCCCAATCTAGAACCGGCTTCTCATCATCGCCATACAAGTGCCTATCAAGGCTCCCATTTGACATGTACTCGTATACCAAGAGCAGTTCACCTTTACGCCTGCAATAACCATGTAACTGAGCGAGATTGCGATGTTGTAGTCGCCCAATGCTCACAACCTCGGCGATGAACTCTTTCATGCCTTGTTTTGAGTCATGTGACACCTTCTTGACGGCGATCTCCAGTTTGGGCGCCGGTAGCACCCCTTTGTATACCCTCCCGAACCCTCCCACACCGAGCAGATTCTTCTCCTTGAACCCGCCGGTGGCGCTGAACAGATCCTTGTAGGAGAACCGGTGCGGCCCGAACTCGACCTCCCAATCTTCCCGGAGCTCGCTGTACTTGAGCCGCCGTCGTATTAGGAGGACGATGAGGGTGCCCGCGGCAAAGATGAACGCTGTCGTCGCTACGGGTGGGATGATCTGTGCGAGCTTGGGATGGCGCTTCGGGCCAAAGCGGGGGAGCTTTGGCAGCTTGGCGATGTCGATGGCCGGAGCAGGTCCGTCCATCGCGAAACTCCAGCCAAGAACGTAGTGTTGCGAGTTGAAGGAACCCGTGGCCGACGAGAAGCCCACGTACGCCGTGTCCGTGAGCACAGTTGAGAGGTCGCAGGTCTTGGAGAGCAGCGGCTTCACGGGTTTGGCCGTTCCCAGGGCAGCCATGGCCACGGTGATCAGTTTCTCTTCGCCGTCGTAGTCCACCCACACCTGCATCGCCGTGCCGCTTGCGAGCGTCAGGTTGTGGAGGATGCCGTCGTCGGCGAAGTAGCCGGCGCTGCTGGACGCGAGGGACGTGAGCCCGTTGACGTCGATGCCGACGTGGTTGCCGTCGATGTCGCGGAACTCGTTGTTCTGGTCGGTGTCGAGTTCGACGCCGAAGATGTGGTTCGCGGCGGCGCCGTTGGTGCTGTTGTTAACAAGGCCGAGATATTGGCTCGGGAACGCGGCGGAGAAGTTGTAGCCCCCAGGGGCGACGAACAGGACGATGCCATGGCCGCAGTTGTTGGCGTCGGGGCAGAGGATGCCGAACACGAAGGAGGCCGAGAACGACCGCACCGTCCGGTTCCGCGCCGCCGGCTCGCGGAAGCGGAACGGCGCCGGGTGGATGGCGTGGGCCTTCTGGCGGAGCGTGCCGTTGGTGAGCTCGAGAAGACCGGTTGGAGTGACCGCGGCCGCGCCGCCGAGGGTGATGTTGGCGCCGGCGAAGCTGGAGTAGACGAACTGCTGGCCGACGCTGCAGATAGCAAGGCTAACAGCGACGAGAAGGAGGAGGAGGAAGCAGCTGAGCTTCTTGTGAGCCTGAGGCATAGCCGGTATTGCTTTGCTCGTACGCGGAGGAGAAAGGCGAAGCCTGAGAATGAATTGACTGCTGACTTGCTGACCGCTCAGCTGCTCTACCAATTACGCAGGAAAATCATGCGGGGGCAGGGGTGGGTCGACCAAATATATTCTTTGACCCATCAGCCATACAAGATGAAAATTAGTGATTGCGAAATTAATTGGGATAACTGTATGTGAACATTAGAAAAGTTAATGAATATGAAAGAAGTTCACTAAAAGAGGTTTGTGAAATAATGAATAAATATCCATGGATTTGAAAGAAGTTCACTAAAAAAAGTTGGCAAACTGAAAAAGTTCAAGAAAGTTTGAAAAAACTTAGCAAAAACTGACAAAACTTCGTGGATTTTAAAAGAGTTAACGAAATTTGAAAAAAAATTGCGAAGTTGTAAAAGTTCATAAAATCTAGAAAAGTTCACAAATTGGGAAAACTGTTTGGATTTTAAAGAAGTTTGTGCATTTGAACAAAATCAGAAAAATAAAGAAAAGGAAAAAAAATAAAAAATAAATAGAACATAGTAAACACCGTTCCAGAAGCTTCCCGAGTCCTCCCAGGAAGTTCCGGAAGCTTCCCAAAAATGGCAAAGAATTCACGTTATTGCGCTCTTAAATGGGCTGGCGATGTCACTCGGAGGGGGTGTGCACCATTTTTGCGATTAAACCAATAATTGGCACTAAGGGTGCCAAATAGGGATCACAATATTCGGGCGTGTCCAGACAGTTATCAAGTAGAATGCAGCCCATTCCGTACCACATATTCTCTTTTTTTATTCATTATTTTCTCTCTGCACATCCCCATCATTCGCATGCATGATTGCAATGCATGCATAAATGAGGGCTTAAAATGAACATACTTGGATACTGACCGGACGCGTCCGCAGAAATTTGAGAGGCCAAATTTGCTCAATGTGGTTGTAGATGCCCTAAAACCTAGACACATACAGAGTAAGGACGACTTGAACCTAGGTACATATGCATCTATTTTAATAAAATGCATTATAAATATATTTTAAAATATAAAAAAAATCTAAAACAATATTTCACGCGTGCATCTCCTCAAAATCATACGCATGTCATAAAGTTTTGCAAAAAAGATATTTTGCCTCCACAAAAAAACAAATTTCAGTGTTGAAAATTAGTGTGTCGCGATATTTTTTTGATCTTTTTGCACGGGCCAAAAAAAGTCGTTTTTCGGTGAAACTTTGCGTGTGCACATATAACATGGAAATGTACGTATGGAACTTTTTTCCAAAAAATGGCATTTAGAAATGTGTTTCTGAAGTGGGTGTGGTCATGAAAATGTACCCAGGTTCATCTAGTAATTTTTCGCGACAGTCAAATCATTTAAACTCCCCATCCGCGCATCACCAGTTCACCATTGGCAAGGGATGGCACCCGCTAAGTTTGGGTATGGGTGGAGCCCTTACCTGTTCCGCCCTGAGCATATGCATCACCCATACCCATATCGGCCAATGAGTATAATTTTTTTTCATATCCACCACTCAACAGGGTAAAGGGGGACCAGTAGGCAAAATATCCACATTTGCAATACATCAACATGAGCATCACATAGTCACAAAAAACAATGTATAATCATAATTTATAAATAACAATGCATCATAACAACATTGCATACTTATAAAGAGCAACATATCATAAAAAAATACCACATTCTCATAAACAACATCATTTACACGTAAACAACAACATACATTTATCCATTTTGAGTTAAAGAACTTACAATAAAGTTTGACGTAATTTTGTCTCATGTTCTTACCTTAATAGGTTGTTTAACCACCAGGTACACGGGGAATAATTATCCATTGCCATCCTGTAACGCCCTCGATGCGGCTATATCTCCCACGTGTCGAAGCACGACTTAGAGGCATAACCGCATTGAAAGCAATGTCGCAAGTGAGGTAATCTTCACATAACCCATGTATTACATAAGGAAAAAAGATACATAGTTGGCTTACAATCGCCACTTCACACAATACATGAATAAAGCATTACATCAACTAGATACAATCAAGGTCCGACTACGGAACCAAAATAAAATAAGACTACCCCAAAAGGTACACAGATCCCCGATCGTCCCAACTGGGCTCCACTACTGATCAACTGGAAAACGGAACAACATAAAGAACACGATCTTCATAGAGCTCCTCCTTGAGCTTGGTTGCGTCATCTGCATGGTTCAACGGCACCTGCAAGCTGGTTTTGAAAGTATCTGTGAGTCACGGGAACTCAGCAATCTCACACCCTTGCGATCAAGACTATTTAAGCTTATAGGTAGGGAAAAGGTATGAGGTGGAGCTACAGCAAGCGACTATCATATATGGTGGCTAACATACGCAAATGAGAGCGAGAAGAGAAGGCAAAAGCACGGTCGAACAACTATGATCAAGAAGTGATCCTAGAACAACCTACGTCAAGCATTACTCCAACACCGTGTTCACTTCCCGGACCCCGCCGAGAAGAGACCATCACGGTAACACAGGCGGTTGATGTATTTTAATTAAGATCAACTTCAGGTTTTCTATAACCGGACATTAACAAATTTCCATCTGTCCATAACCGCGGGCACGGCTTTCGAAAGTTCAAATCCCTGCAGGGGTGTCCCAACTTAACCCATCACAAGCTCTCACGATCAATGAAGGATATTCCTTCTGGCGGGAAGACCCGATTAGACTCGGAATCCCGGTTACAAGACATCCTCGACAATGGTAAAACAAGTCCAGCAAAACCACCCGATGCGCCGACATCCCGATAGGAGCTGCACATATCTCCTTCTCAGGGCACACCGGATAAGCTAAGCGTACGGGAGCCAACGTAACCCAAGTTGCCAAGGGACTGAAGGAAATATGCCCTAGAGGCAATAATAAAGTTATTATTTATTTCCTTATAATCATGATAAATATTTATTATTCATGCTAGAATTGTATTAACCGGAAACATAATACATGTGTGAATACATAGACAAACAAAGTGTCACTAGTATGCCTCTACTTGACTAGCTCGTTAATCAAAGATGGTTATGTTTCCTGACCATGAACAATGAGTTGTTATTTGATTAACGAGGTCACATCATTAGTTGAATGATCTGATTGACATGACCCATGCCATTAGCTTAGCACCCGATCGTTTAGTATGTTGCTATTGCTTTCTTCATGACTTATACATGTTCCTATGACTATGAGATTATGCAACTCCCGTTTGCCGGAGGAACACTTTGGGTGCTACCAAACGTCACAACGCAACTGGGTGATTATAAAGGAGCATTACAGGTGTCTCCAAAGGTAGATGTTGGGTTGGCGTATTTCGAGATTAGGATTTGTCACTCCGATTATCGGAGAGGTATCTCTGGGCCCTCTCGGTAATACACATCACATAAGCCTTGCAAGCATTACAACTAATGTGTTAGTTGTGAGATGATGTATTACGGAACGAGTAAAGAGACTTGCCGGTAACGAGATTGAACTAGGTATTGGATACCGACGATCGAATCTCGGGCAAGTAACATACCGATGACAAAGGGAACAACGTATGTTGTTATGCGGTCTGACCGATAAAGATCTTCGTAGAATATGTAGGAGCCAATATGGGCATCCAGGTCCCGCTATTGGTTATTGACCAGAGACGTGTCTTGGTCATGTTGTAACGCCCTCGATGCGGTTATAGCTCCCACGTGTCGAGGCACGACTTAGAGATATAACCGCATTGAAAGCAATGTCGCAAGTCAGGCAATCATTACAACATCCCATGTAATACATAATAAAAGGGGGAGATAACATAGTTGGCTTACACTCGCCACGTCACATCAGAGTACATAAATAACATCCATCAAACAAACACTCATGGCCCGACTACGGCGCCAAAATGGAAAAGAACCCAACAAGCGACAAGGCCCTGAATCAATCCCCAACTAGGCACCACTACTGATCATCGGGAAAGGAAACATAATAACGCTGAGAGTCCTCGTCGAACTCCCACTTGAGCTCGTACTCGTCACCTGGAGCGGAATCGCCTGGACCTGCATCTGGAATTATAGTATCTGTGAGCCACAGGGACTCAGCAATCTCGCACCCTCGCGATCAAAACTATTTAAGCTTATAGGAATGGATAAGGCAAATATATGTGGAGCTGCAGCAAGCGACTAGCATATATGGTGGCTATCTTATACGCAAAAGAGAGCGAGAAGAGGGGGCAAAGCGCGAGCGAGAATCTAGAAGAGCAACCTGCGCAAGCATAACTCCAACACCGTGTCCACTTCCCGGACTCCGCCGAGAAGAGGCCATCACGGCAACACACTCAGTTGATTCATTTTAATTAATTAAGGTTTTAGTTATCTACAACCGGACATTAACAAATTCCCATCTGCCCATAACCGCGGGCATGGCTTTCGAAAGTTCAATCCCTGCAGGGGAGTCCCAACTTAGCCCATGACAAGCTCTCACGGTCAACGAAGGAATAGACCTCCACCCGAGACACACCGATCAGACTCGGTAACCCGGTACAACAAGACAATTCGACAGGTTAAAACAAGACCAGCAACACCGCCCGAATGTGCCGACAAATCCCGATAGGAGCTGCACATATCTCTTTCTCAGGGCACACTCAGATGAGACATCCTACGAGTAAAACCAACCCTCAAGTTGCCCCGAGGTGGCCCCGCAGTCTACTCGGTCAGACCAACACTCAGAGGAGCACTGGCCCGGGGGGGGGGGTGTTAAAATAAGATGACTCTTGAGTCTGCAGAACCCAAGGGAAAGAAAAGGCTAGGTGACAAATGGTAAAAACCAAGGTTGGGCATTGCTGGAAAAGCTTTAATCAAGGCGAAATATCAAGGGGTTCCCATTATAACCCAACCGTGTAAGGAACGCAAAAATCCGGGAACATAACACCGATATGACGGAAACTAGGGCGGCAAGAGTGGAACACAACACTAGGCGAGAGGCCGAGCCTTCCAC